GAGTTGGCGGTGGGTGGTGATGACTGGCTGCCTTCCCTCTAGTCTTACACTGCTAAATTAGGGACGGCTAGTGGATAGCCCTCGTGTAGCTTTGCGCGAAATTCAAAAACAAACAATCATTTACAGGTACATTAATAGCCCTCAAAATTGAAAAAAAATAATTTAACTTCATATGATATATACATCCGTTTTTACTTTAACAGAGATCCAATTTATCTAAGAATGCAGTATAAACTAAATGTTTAGAAATGGGAAGAAAACTTTTAGCTCAATGGCAAAATTTCACAAAACCCTTAGGCGGTGGGGTTAAAGCAACCTTAAGTATAGCGAACTAAAAATACTATATTTCCTATTCTTTGAACCCGATTCTTGAAATTAGCCATTCTACTGCATATCAGGTTGCTAAGAGGCGAAATATAAAAAATATCACCTATAATGCCGCTATAGTTTGCTCTTATTCATAAGGTTGACTTAATCAACTTAAAAGTTTACTTTTGGTAAAAGATGTCAATCTAGCTAATTAGAAATGTAAATAAAACGCTCAAAGCATACGATAAAAAACCTGTAAACAAACTTTGGTGTGTATATGGGGAGATGTGTGGTATTCAGGTACACTGATATCCAACAGGTAACCATCAAAAGTTTCCCTAAAAACGCAGATTCTTGACTGTTATTTAAATGGTTTATTTAGCGCCCACAGAATTCGCTTCAGTGGAGTAGTTTTCTGTGAGTAGAGATCAAAGAAGGTATCCTATAAAGCCGCAAAGGGCGGATCGTTCCATGATCTGCCACTATGAATGGATAGTTACAAGTTGTATTACTAGGGAGCAGATAGTTCTAAAATGATCATTAGAGGTGGGCAATGAGATTATCTTTAGTGCACGCGCAAATATTTTATGTCATTCGCACGCGAACTACTCACGGTGATTAAAAGTTGGAGCCATGTGGTCTGTAACGTCATGAATACTAAATTGCTGTTTCAGTCGATAAGGGAGAGGGGAGCATCGTTTAAGACCGAGAGTTCACGTGACATCATAGTTCCAAAAAATGGCGTCAGGGGACAGATAGTTTCAAAATGTGTTAGTAGGAGGCGTGTAATGAGCTCATCTATGATGGATGGACAGATGCTTGTTATGGGGTTTGCGAGCATGGATGTCAACAAGGGCGCCCGCATAGAAAAAAATATAGGGTCAAGTAACTCAAGTTTGAAAAAAATTATGAAATCGAAATACAAAAACGTTATGATTTTCCATTAAAATATAATAATAATTTTACATATCTAGTAATTTGTTTTATTTTTGAAAATCCGGGAGTGGGTCAAGTGAACCCCTTTGCCCTTTCCTGCGGGCACCCTTAGATGTCAAGTTATGTCATGTAGAGCATCACCAGATATCAACGTGTTTCAATATATGATTAAGTCATGTTGACCTTTGTTTTGATCGCGATTGCTATTACTTCACAATATATCATACCAAGTCCTGAAGAGAGAAAGAGAAAAAATAATAATTTGATCTTATGTTATACAATGAAAAGAACTGTACCAGGATTTCCATGCGTATAAATTTTGATATATAAAAAATCAAACCAACGCTACCTTTTCCATATTAAATGACATAGGTATCTCATCACAGTTTGTAAGAGTCAAAACTAGAAATTAATCTTAAAGTTGTTTGTCATCTTTATACTCACGAAGTATTTCTTTAAATCTGAATTATGTTAACAAGACTCCTCTCTCTCCTGCGTTTGTTTTCTTATATCCCACAATGGTGTACAATAGAACCTCATTACAACGGGCACCGTGCCATTGAGGGCAGACCTTTTCAGTCTCTTTCTTTTTCACTACATTTAAAATAATGTTTAACCTAGAAAATACACTGAACTCTATAAATGTATTTCGTTACAATATGAGAATAAATTTTGAGCCCCATATGTAACTAATATGATGGCCATTTGACTGTATACGACGGTTGTCGTTTTTATCTCTGGGTTACAAAATACGTTTGGTTTAACATTTATCAGTATCATTGTTGTTGGTCTATATGTCAAACTCTGTGTAAAAGATGTATCTAGTTTGTTATAAAACTGTCCGTTTCTTTTATCTTCAAAACTTTGTTGATGTAGCTGATTTTCATTTTCCTTTCTCTAAATTTTACCATGAAAGCTTGACCCAGATTTATCTGACGTGGAAGCATTGGTCATAAGCTGGAAACTTACAAATTGCAAAACACACACCACAGGATACACTAAATACATCAGCAAACATGCTTTTGGAATTTTAAAACTGTGAGGCATGGTACAATAAGAT